GAAATATTTATACCTACAGTCCGTTGATAAATTGATTTGTTGTGAAAAGAACAATCGTGGTTAATAATCGAAAAGAAGTTTAAATAAAATAGGTATTTCTGACGGTCCTAAGCCCGTGTAAAGTCTGAAGGACAAATTGGAGTCTATCTACGTAAGTACTCGCTAGCTCGCGCCTATAGGTATAGTTTTGTCAGCTGCTGTTAGCGTCGGCGGTGCGCAGCGGCCGCCGAAACGCCCACGGACGTGTTTCATTCATATAAGATAATGAATGAACGATCAGTCCATTACTACTTTCCAAGTCGATCGAGTAAAAATGAATATTAAAACTGAAACTTTTTTTTAGACAACATTACAATTGATTTAATCATTTTTATTGGTACTATAGATGATTCCAAATTCAAATATTTCGTTTCCAAAACGCTTTCAAAATCACCGTGTATTTATTTACACATTATATCTGTTACCTGAAAAGAGCCTTTGTAATAAATTATTCTCTCAAATATAATTCGTGAGTTTCCAACACAAAATTAAAGGTAAATTCAGAACATTTTTATTTTGTTCAAGAATAACTTACCTAGTTATTAGTGTTCTATTTTTGATATCTTTATTAAATTAAATTTCTTCAAAAGAAACTAATATAAATGTTAAATTGATATTCATGATATTAAAAAGAGAAATGTTATAAATAGTAAACGTATTTTTTAAATCACCTATACACTGATGACCTATTAACTTGTGACTTGAGTTGGAGGTGTTTATGGGCGGGGGTAATCACTTACCATCAGGTGACCCATCTGCTCGTTTGCCCACTCTTCTATAAAAATAAAAACTTTTTCTGGTTTATGTTTACGGCAAAGGTGGATAGTAATTGACTACATCCTCCCATGGACACCTGCAATTCAGAAGTCCCAAGTGCACTGCCACCATTTAAGTCCCTTCCCCCAGAATCAGGGGGAGGGTGGTTTTACTTGGTAAAAAGAAATTAAAGAACAGCTTAACACCGATTTTCTGGTCGAGCCGGCCCATTTGTGTCAAAGTATGACTTTTCCACGATCCAGCGATGATCTTGTAATACAGAACAGATAGTACTGCTGGTTGAGAGGCGTTCACGCTAGATGTAAGCGCTTGTAAAACTTTTATGGCATGATCCGTACAATGCCATGTCATGTAACGTCCACCACTTCAGTTCCATCAAGAAGAGAGCAAAACTCAAATCCTAGGATACTTCTAGTTTTGCTAAATATTAGAATAAAATCGTCTATGTGGTGACGGTTTTAGAATACAGAGTGTCATCACCCCTATTCATCCCGTGGGTGTCGTAAGAGCCAACTAAAGGAGCAAACTACGCAGGATAACAGAACTGCAAAAAGAAGGAAAACTTGAAACAAACCCTGTACTAACCCGTCTGACCAGCGTGGTATAGTAGGCCAAAACCTCCCTTCTAATGAGAGGCCTATATCCAGCAGTGGACTATTAAAGGCTGTTGATAATGATGATAGCCTAAAATAGAAGACTGTCAAACTATTACTACTGATAAGAATACTAAATACAAAAAAGGATTTTAGTTCTTTTTATATATTCCATGATCTTATCACCTGCAAACGTAGAAATTTATTAATTTCACTTCTCATTTGAATAAAAAAAATAGGTATTTTTAATAAACGTGCAGCAAAAAAAAAAACACCAAATACCCTCTGTTTATTTATTTTGTTCAACACAAAGAGCTCAACGGCGCACGTTAATTAAAACTTCGTTATAATCTTCCGCGCTGTCGGACTCGACTTCGTATGTGTGACGTCACGGATCATATTCCCGTTCCCATTTAATTGTAACGTGGCTGATGACATCTCTTTCGTATTTTATCAATTTGACGTGTACATGCATCCTTAAGCTTCTAAGTGACTTGTAATGAAGGAACGTAATATAATATTATATACTTTTATACAAACAAAGGCCATTTCTGTTAGCATTTGTGTATAGTTACAGATAAGGCTGAATAAAATGTCATCGCTTGTTGCTGCTTTGTATAAGGATATTGTCTTATTAAGATTGAAACCTAGAGATTAGTATCTGTGCTGAGCCAAAGACAATGAAATTTTGCAAACACTTTTTCACAGCTATCGAAAAATATATTAATTATTGAATTTCTTGCTTACTGATTTTGACCGCTACGTAAGTCAGTAGCCTTGGTATTGATTCTGATCTGATTTTTTCTGTGTCAAGGTGTTATTTACCCATCTCCCATATACCCATATATATCCATATACCTATTAAACTCACGAGGAGATAAAATATTTAAATAAAGTGATTTTTTTTTTTTGTCCTAATTGGTGTACATTCAAGGTATACTGAATAACTGAACTAAAATTGTTTCCTTAAATGTTAAAGCTACTATTTTAAATAAGAGTCCAAGACACAGAGCCATAATTATTTTAAAAAATATCAGAAGAATAAGAATGGAGAAATACTAGGATATTTTAATTCAACAACTGTTAAACTTTTTATCTCGATGACATAAAATTTGCAAAGTTGGAAATAATTTAGTGTCCACGGCCACGCAATAAAGTACAATTGAAGTCGTGTAAAAATGCTCCCCGAGGCACATGATTGCTCTAGTACAAAATTCTTAGAGTTATTTAAATCCTCCTGACACATATAGGTATAGTTCAGATTAGAGTATTGTGCAAACTCATTGCTGCTGGATATGGTTATAACATTAGAGACGAAATTGGAATTTTATAAAGGTGATAAACTGCTGAGAACTGTAATGCTTGGTATACGCCATAACAAAAATAGAACAAAATAATTATATCAATAGATAGGTACTCTTTGCTAGCAATTGTATATATTAAATAACAGTAGTATAATAGGTAACCTTTTTTTTTGTTGACCGGCTTTTGTATCTCCGGCTCCTTGGGGATGTAGGAGCCAGGACTATGTGATGTTGCCACTAAAATCCACTCCGACGGTCGGACTCAGGCCCTATTCCAAGGAGGACAAGGACCATGTTACTTCAGAATACCCCCAGATCGACGCCGCACCTAAATGCCTTATCCCGGGAAAGCTGTGGGCTTCCCCTGCCTATCAGCCCAATCCTAATAATATGTTTCGGCAATCTCCCGATCCCGTTCAGCGACCACTGCGCCTAAGCCCTCCTCACCCTGGCGCGGACAGGTCTCGTCCGATTTGGTCGACCAGGATTTGGTGGATTTGGTCGTAGGACTTCGCGTTTATACGCCCACGCGGGGCAGTCTTTCAGCGTGTGCTGGGCAGAGTCCCAGTCGTCTGCGCAGTGCTGGCATTGCGCCGTCTCCTCGCAACCAATCCGATTCAGGTACTCACCGAAGCAGCGTTACATGTTCAGATACAGGTAATTTGCAATACAATTTTTTGAAGATAAATTTCGTGTTGGGATTTCGTTTGTATTTAAACTCCTTTTGTATGGATGTTCAACTTTATGAGGATCACAAATTATTAAAAAAAAAAAAACAATTCCACATAGTAATCGACCCCAAAATAGGCTCGGTTACGATGTGTAATTGTTTATTAGAATTAAAATCTAACTGTGTATAATGTTCATGTATAAAATTGTTTAGAGGCGGTCGCATAGAAGAAAAGGCAATTTCACTCATTTTTGTGTAATAAAATCCATTGTCTTATTTAAAGCAAAACATGTTTGACGTAAGAGCCGACTAAGGGCGCAAAACAACGCAGGACACCAGCACTGCAAAAAGACGGAAAACTTGACACAAACCCTATACCAACCCGTCTGGCCAGCGTGATATAGTAGGCCAAAACCTTCTTTCTAAGGAGAGGCCTATGTCCAGCAGTGGACTATTAAAGGCTGTTGATATGATATATGTTTGACGTCGTATTCATTTAAAAATGAATACGACCCATCAATAAATTCAAAAATATGTTGCTGTTCACCAATGTTAATTTAAAAAAGTATTTATTTTCAAACTATCTTTAAGGAACCTTGACCTTAGACCATGACTTAGGCAATGTAAACACAAAAGCATCATAGCAGAAGCATTATCGAGTCGATCAGTTAACAGTCAACAATCTGAGACAAGGCGGCCGGTGGAGAACATCCACCGGTAGTCGAGCATTTAGAATTCATTGAAAAACTCTCGCTTGAAAGTTATCAGATCGTAAACGGTGACGGCCGGCGCGACGCGACGCTTTACTCTGAAAGGTACACGCATGCACGAAAGTGTTTTCATTTTTATTGGTGTTACGTAAAAATTTCAAATATGAGAGGAAGATTCGTTTTTTTTATAATAGCATCAGGTATGGCAAAAATTAATCATTTCGATTTCTAACTATAGATAACACCAATATAGATAACTACGAACAAGTTACCATACACATTGAAGGTTATGATGTAACTTAATAAATTAAAAATGTCAACACTCAGATAACAGTTTCGAACATCTTGCAGGAGACATTACGAATTTTTTTTCTGAACATTGTGATTTAGTTACAGTTGAAGCTGTGTCAATTTGTGACTTGAAATGTGTACCTTTAGGTTTAGTTATAAAGGTATGTATTTTGAGTAATCATATTGCCTACGGTCAAAAACATGACACTTGTGCAAATTTTAAAATTAATCTTAAGTTTTGTGGTTGATGAAAACGTGTAAAAACACAAATGTTAGCTTAACACTAGAATTAGGTGTAGTAAAACTGCCGTATGTTTAATAAATCCGTTTATTCTTCCTTCGCAACGTGAACAACACTGCCCCTCTCCTATAACATCACCAACCTTATATAATAAAAATCCCCTCCAATATTTCCTCACCTTAAATCTACAACTACCCTCTTGGTTATATTTTTATTTGCTTAAATATATAACGTATCATTACGGTATAAATATTAAATAAATTAACACAAATCTCACATAATTATTAAGTATACAACATTCGGCCTTCCTGACAACATTGTTTGTCCTCAAACAAAGAAAAAATAAACATTTAACTAAAAAACAAACCACGACTCTTAATTAGGTTTACAACATTCGGCCTTCCTGACTATATTGTTTGTCCTCAAACTAACTGAAAAAAAATACAAATAAAATTTAACATAATTCAAATTAACATTATACGATCAATTATTTATCCTGGAAAACTCATCAGGCTTACAAATTATGTTTCTGATAATACCGATTATCCGGTTTTGAATTAATTAATCCTGGCACTCTCATCAGGCATTAGTTAATTTTTGTCACAGATTTCAATTAATTAACCCTGGAACACTCATCAGGCATTAGTTAATTTTTGTTACAGATTTCATTAATTAACCCTGGAACACTCATCAGGCATTAGTTAATTTTTGTCACAGATTTCAATTAATTAACCCTGGAACACTCATCAGGCATTAGTTAATTTTTGTTACAGATTTCAATTAATTAACCCTGGAACACTCATCAGGCATTAGTTAATTTTTGTTACAGATTTCAATTAATTAACCCTGGAACACTCATCAGGCAATAATTAATTTATGTTACAGATTTCAATTAATTAACCCTGGAACACTCATCAGGCATTAATTAATTTTAGGTACAGATTTCAATTACTTAGCCCTGGAACACTCATCAGGCATAAAATTTCTACTATTAATCATCACTGTCCGTACTATCGGGTTTTGAATTAATGTGTGCAGTTATCCATGGCTGTATTTGATCAACAGCCCATATATTACAATATTTTTTCTTTCCTATACTTACTCCAGGTATACTAGAGACCTCATACCTATCGTTATCTAAAATTTTTGTTATCCTATAGGGGCCAGAGAAAACAGGATGTAGTTTCTTACTTTGACCGTCGTTTGGATTGGTTTGCTTTTTTATTTTAACCAAATCACCTAGTAAATATACTTTCGGATCTTTACGTTTTTGGTCATAGCGTTGTTTTTGTTTCTGTTGATCAATTTCAATGTGCTTCGAGACCTCTGATCTAACTTCAGCTAAATCTTTTGTTCGAATTCGCGTGTCTAAGAAAACATCAGAAAACATATTTTCACTACCATTAGTTAAAGATCGACCAAACAATGCCTCAGATGGTGTTTTACCTATTCCTTTATTTAACGTATTATTAAGACCCCATTGAATCTTTCCTATCTCTTAATCCCATTTAGATTCACCCAATTCTTCCGTGTATGTACTCAGTGCTGCTAAAACCGTTCGATTATATCTTTCAACTTGCCCATTTGATCTAGGTGAAGCAACGGCATTTAGAATATGCTTAATGTGTGACGATGTACAAAAACTTTCGAATTCTTTTGACGTAAAGCTTGAACCTCTGTCAGAAATAAGCCTACAAGGAAATCCGAACATAGAAAATACGTCATTTAATGCTATTATAGTAGGTTTAGATTTTAAATTTCGGAGAGGTTTTATAATACAATATTTTGTAAAACCATCTACAATTAATAACAAATACATATTCCCTTTTTTACTTTTTATGAAGGGGCCTAAGTGGTCGATATGAACGGTATGAAATGGAACATCTATTTTAGGAATATTATGTAAATAGCCTTCTTTTTTACCTGAAACATCTTTTGTGTATGCACAGTGCATACAGGAGTTTACGTATTTTGTAACAAACTTTCTCATTTTTTGAAACCAAAAGTCTTTTTTTATTTTTGCGAGAGTTTTTTCTACAGAAAAATGACCAATATCGTCATGATTTTGTTGACATATCTGCCACCTAGCTCCCTTTGGGACAACCCACTTTAGATCGTTGGCCCCTACTTTACGAAATAATTTATTGTCTTTCAGTACAAAATTTTGTTTAATATCAGTAACATCATTGTATTTGACATCTTGTAATACTTCACGTATATGGCACAATTTTGGATCTGATAATTGTAGGCTGAGCAACCAATCCTCACTATTTATAGCAAAAACGTGTTCTACATTTGGCTCAAGGTATTTAGTGTGGACCGATTTTTTAATTGACTGAACAGGGTTACGACTGAGGGCATCAACATGCGACATTTGATGATTTGGCCTATATATTATTTCGCAGTCATACTCCTGCAAAGCTAACCACCACCGAGCAATCCTAGGGAGAAGATCTCTTTTTGTGAAAGTTGCGCGTAAAGCACTGCAATCAGTGACGATTGTGAACTGAACACCTAACAAATATACGCGAAAACGCTTTAATGACTCGATAACAGCTAAAGTCTCTAGGTCATAGGCATGAAACTTTTGTTCGTCAATAGTGGTTTTCCTACTAAAGTATGCTATGGCTTTCAAGGGACTGGTATCATTTTCTCTTTGGAGCAAAATGCCGGCTAGTCCCATTTTGCTTGCATCCGTGTGAAGCTCAGTTTTAAATTTTGGGTCATATAGTGCTAGTATAGGTCTTTCAAGTAACTTGTTTACCAAGGTTCTAAATGCACCTTCTTCCTCATCATTCCACTGCCATGGATATCCTTTCTTTGTTAAATTAGTAAGAGGTTGAGAAATAACAGCATAATTTTTAATGAACTTTCGAAAATAGCTTGTCAAGCCTATAAACTGTCTAATCTCATGGACATTCCTAGGGCAAGGGAAATTCCTTACCGCTTCAATTTTTGCTTTGCCTGGCCGTATACCTTCGGCATTAATTTCATAGCCCAGATACTCGATACTGTTTTGAAAGAAGTGACATTTTCTTAAATTCAAGGTTAGATTAGCGCCGTTCAGTAAATCAAAGGTTTTTTCTAATTTTTTAAGGCCCTCATCAAATGTTTTAGATGCAACTATTAAGTCATCCATATAGGCTAATGCAGGTTTACCAATTAGATTATCTGGATCGATACGAGGACTTTTCAAAGCTAAAGCTTTAGTTATTGTTCTTTGAAATACCGAAGGGGCATTAACTAATCCGAAAGGAACACGTTTAAATTGATACAGACCATTAGGTGTAATAAAAGCCGTTAGATGCCTACAATCGGCTTTGACGGGAATTTGGTAATAGCCGCTAGTTAAATCTAAACAAGTAAAATATTTACTGCCGCTTAATTGATCGATTTGGTCCTCAATAAGAGGGAGTGGAAAATGATCCTTTAATGTACGTCTGTTTAAAGCACGATAGTCTACGCATAAACGTTGACCTCCAGTCTTCTTTGATACGAGCAAAATTGGACTAGCGTATGAGGATATTGATTCTTCTATGATATCATTTTGTAGTAGCTCGTCAACCATGGTTTGAACAGTTTCTCTTTCCTTGTGACTAAGTCTATAAGGCCTATATACTACAGGTGTTTTATCCGTTAGTTCTATATCCATTTCTGTCAAATTCGTGCAACCTAACTCCGAGAGGTTTTGTGCGAAAGCCTTCCGATACCGTTCTATTAATCTAAATACTTGTTCTGATTCATAAGTGGTCAGAAATTTATTAATGTTAACATCTTTTTTATCGATCGGTTCCTGAACTGTTTCGATGCCAAAACAGAGTTGATTTTGTTGTATCTGGACAGTTGCATTAATTTTCCCCGCGCGAACTAATATAGAATCTTTGTTTAGCTTTACAGATGTAGGAGTAATTACTATAATATTTGTTCTACCATCTTTAACTTCATATACCCCTTCTTGTATCCAATATTCTTTACCCAAAAAACAGCGATAACAACCCGGTACAAATAACGTAACATTTAAGATATTTGGAGAATAGCAAGGTACAACAGCTACTTTATCAAAATTTATTGTTTCATAAACAAATAATTCAACAGTATTATAAGTCTCATGCTCAATACAAGAAAAGTCTGTTGGGATATTGCGATCAATTAATTCCAACGATTCGTTGGTTTTGATGACTAGAACATGAGGAAGTTCAGTAAAATTTTGACCGATAAGTAAAGGTACGTGCAACTGGTCAGATAAAATCACGTAAGCGACAATAAAAGCTTCTACAGAGTCGATTCTTACTTTAAAATATGTTTTGCCGATAGGTTTTATCGATAAGTTAGCAAAACCTTTTATATTAGGCATCTGTCCCGTTTCCAATTTTAATCCATACTTATCGAGTAAGCTATCTTTAATAAGAGAACAATCGCTACCAAAATCTATGAAACACTTTATGTTCTCTTTGCGCTCCCCTAACACCGCTGTTTTGTAAAATTTATTTTGTGTTTTAAGTAATTCTATTTTCATAACTCTTTTTTCTGCTGTCAATTTACTACTATCCTTATTTTTCAGGAAGCAATTATCACTCTTATGTCCTAGTTTATGGCAGTGATCACACTTAATAATTGGGTAGGCACACTGTTGTGTTCTATGACCTTGTTGTTTACAATTAAAGCAAATTATTGACCTACACTGTTTATAATGATGTCCAACTTTTTTGCAATTATTACAAATTACATTTAAATTAGGTCTATCAATCTGATTGTTTTTAAACTTGGTTTTGTAACTCTTATCTGTATTTTCCCTACACATATCTTTTAAAAATCCTAGCAGATCCTCCGGATGGTGGAACCTTGCAGAAGAAGCACTAGCTTTAAGCGTCCTATCGTCTAAGCCGTAAATTATACAATCTACCGCCTTTTTCTCCGAAATGTTACAAGCGTTTAGCAATATCATTTTATCGTAATAATATTCGTCTAACGATTCTCCGGGTTTATAGCGCCTGTCTAACATCTCAGATAATAACGCACCGTAGTTGGTCTCAGATGGGAAAGTTCTTTTTAGACATTTTTGCCATTCTGACCAGTTACGATTAAGTGACTGCAGCCCTTCATACCATTTCTTTGCATGTCCTACCAGACGGGGAAGTGCAAAATGAGACGTTTGTTTGTCATCCCATCCATAGATTTGAGCACACTCATTAACCTTAGATATCCAAGTTTCAATCCTATGATTTTTAACTGTTGGGTCAAATTCAGGGATAATGCTTTTATCAAAATGTAGCTTTTTAGGCTGCTCATGTTTAGTAAACGTAGTCATGAGACTTACGAAATCTTTGAAGGTAGGATTATTAAGTAAATCACTCATACCCGATGGTGGGACTCCTTGTGGCTGATCAGTCCTCTCCCTGCTCAGGTGGTTGTCTGCCGCGACGGACCCATGTCCGGCTTCGTGGCTACGGGAGCGGCTACGTGAATGGCGTAGCTCGTAGGCGTGCAGGTGGTCCGGTCCACGAATCTGTTCGCGGCTGTGCAATCGACCACGGGTGTAGAGTCTTCCCAAGCTAGAACCCTACTCGCTCCTGTGCAGGCGTCTTAACTCGCGATTGCGCTCACGACTGCGCTCGCGACTACCTTCAAGCCTGCGCAAAATACTCAGTTCGCTATTACGCTCATGATTGCATAAGCTAAATTGCTCTCCACATTCACGCCTGCGCAGGGTGTAAGACTCGCGACTATTCTCGTTGCTGCGCGAGAAGTCAATCTTGGGAGTACCTTCGGGGCTTCTAACAGAATCAGGTTCGCAGCTATGTCTGTGACTGCGGAAGTGACTAGACCTGGAACTACGCTCGCGGCTGCGCAAGTGCCGACGAATGTTGGAATGTTGACTGGGTGAAGATACTATCAATTGTTCTAAACGCGGACTACGCGATCTCAAATTATGGGCACTTGAATTCCCAGCCAGTTCTTGTACTGAATGACTGAGACTCCTCGCGCGAGAGTCTCTCTCGCTAACTGGAGACATCGGCGTTGAATTCATGACTGAAATCAAGAATTATTTCGGACATAACTTGTTCATAGATATATTTATTTTATTTCCCTGAAACCTCCTTAAAATACTATCATATTAGCTAAGGAAACAAGAAAAAAAACTGCGGCGGGTATGAACTAATAATTCCTTTACGTTATATAATATACATTTCACAATAGTGAGTTTATTAGTGACTATAATATGATAGAAAGTTGACAGTAATACACCCGAATAAAGTAAAAAGAGTTCTTATTAATATTTAGTATGTTGTAAGTGCCCTACCACGCTTCATATCTTAAACATTAATAAATAGCATGTATAGTTAGTTCACGAGGTATCATTTATAGGTTAAGTACACTTGGAATCGATTATAACCCAAGTATAAATCTTATATTGTACAAATAAATACATCGCGACCACTGATACATGTAAAGTGTAGGATGTATGTGTCACCTCTGCGATTGAAAGACCTTGTTAAAAAAATATGGGTGCTAACACATCTCTGACCGCCCAGGCGTGATTTTAATCTTTTTTTTTTTTTAACTGAATATTGTACACACGAATCATAGTTATAGGGAGAGAATTAAAATAAAATAAAAAATTTATTAACACTTCAAAACTTACCAATATTCGGCGTCAAGTAATCCCACTTCTGAACTGTTAGCTTAACACTAGAATTAGGTGTAGTAAAACTGCCGTATGTTTAATAAATCCGTTTATTCTTCCTTCGCAACGTGAACAACACTGCCCCTCTCCTATAACATCACCAACCTTATATAATAAAAATCCCCTCCAATATTTCCTCACCTTAAATCTACAACTACCCTCTTGGTTATATTTTTATTTGCTTAAATATATAACGTATCATTACGGTATAAATATTAAATAAATTAACACAAATCTCACATAATTATTAAGTATACAACACAAAGTTGTTTCTTAAATGGATTCATCATCATCATCATCAGCCTATCGCAGTCCACTGCTGGACATAAGCCTCTCCCATTGCACGCCACTTAGATCGATTTTGGGCTTAAATGGATTGATTTCTTCTAAATGTATGATACGTATAAACGTACTCTAAATCGATTTTAATTTTTCGCAAAGGAAAAAAAACTTGTGAAAATTGATTTCATTTTAATTGTAGAAAAATATTTAACCTTTAAAAGTAAAATATTTAGGGATGAAGAAGGCAGGTTATTACAATTTATAATGATTTAGGCTCATTGATTTTTTTCCTTGATACATCAAAACTTGAGTTCCAAAGAAAGCGTTACTGTTAAAACATAGTTGTACCCGATTGTCCAGCACAAAGAGGACGTCCTCATCGGTCAAATGGTGTCACCCCCGCTATAAATGGGTAAGTGCACTCGATGGAAGTTGTCTCCTATTTTCAAAGTCATGAGTATCTCACTACTTCCCCTCTCAGCCCATTCCTATTTAATCTCCCGTCGACACTTCAGAGACATCCTACTATTTTATGAATGTTGATGGATAATTACAAGCCCATGCAGTTTAATTAAATAGAAAGGCTGGCTACTTCTAGTTTTAACCTGCGTGGTATTATTACGGGCCTATCTTGACGGGCCTGTTGGTCTTGTAGTTTTTTTTTTATAGTTTCCCCTCACGGTTAAACCACCATGAGGGGGAGTTTATTAAATTATTATGGTACATTCTGCTATTTGATACAGAAATATTTGAGTGCGTTATGTGTTATTAAATTCTTTAAGTGTGTTGACTATAAGGGTGAGGTGAGTCATAAAGGTATGGGTGGCGGTGTTGTTGGTGATCAGTAATGTTAAATTGTATGGGTCTAAATTAAAGTGGTGACAGAGTTGTTCATGGTTGAGTGCGAGTGTATCGTGGGCATTCTGTAATAAGGTGTCTAAATGTCTGGGTAGTTGTGTTGTCGCAGGGGCAGGTGTTGTCGTCTGTAATATGAAATCTGTGTAGGTATTGTTTGTGGTAGCCGTGGTTAGTGACCCTGACTCCTAAATCGGAGGTCGTTTTTGATACCCATTCAGGACAAATATTGTGTGATGAAATTCTATTTAAAAATATATAGGTATGTTTATCAGCAGTGGTTACCATATCACAGGCTCTGCCTAGTTTAGGATCAGGCGGCCGAGTGTGTTATGTGTGATTATTTTTTTGTTGTGCAGACTTACTTTCCTTGAGATTATTGGTTTGAAGTTATGCATGCTTAATTAGTTGACTATGATAAAATGTACTTATGTTGTAAAGGTATATTATGGCAATATTCAAAGTGCAATAGTGCCTATGTCCAGCAGTGGACTGCGATAGGCTGATGATGATGATGAAAGTTTGACTTGAGCGGTAATCGAACCCGAAGACCGTTACACAAACTACTACGCCATCCGGCCGTCAAAAGTATATAAATATATCCCTATCTCGAATCGAAAAGTTCCCACAATAATATACAGTCTAAAATTAATTAGTAATATTATTTGTTGGCAGGCGGGCGTTACATAGTGGGTGGCAGTCGAGGCGACATCCTGGTGGTACGAGACGCGCGGCCCGATGATGGTAGCTCGTACTCCTGTGAGGCACAACACACCCTGACCGGAGAGAAGAGACGAAGCTCACCAGCCATGGTCACTGTTTCACGTTAGTATTGCTCACAATGCAAATTGGAGTACTGATCAAATCTGAATACCGCATACTGAAGTATTCAGATGTGAACTTCGACGTTAACTTTTTATAAAATAAAACTATTCGTTGTTGTAAGCTTTTGTCACTGGAAATAAAAAATATTGAAAAAAATAAAAATTGAAAAATATTTTAAAAGCTTGACGTAAAAGTGTTTAAAAAAATTGTTTTATAATGTTTTTAGGTAAATAGGGAGTGAAGTGTAATGAAATTTACAATTACTTCACTGCTAATTTACAATTATTCTGTAATTATATTCTTTACTTTACAAAAAGTTTAAATAAAATTGTTGATATTATATTGGTATAGTAACGTAAATATATTATCGTAATATTTGTACTTTTAGACGCAACCTCGAGTATGGCGCCGAGAATGTTGACTGTGTCAGAGGATGAGACAGTTCCACAGGGCGGTGATATCAGATTGGTGTGCTGTGCAGTTGGTAGTCCACCTCCAACTTACAGGTAAACATATCTATCTCTTATTAAATATAATACAAGCATAATTTTTGGGAATTCAATTTTACATCTGCCAGGTTTTTGGACATATCTTATAGTATTACTGATCTTTATTCACTAGTCTGTCTGTCTTTATATTTAAAATAAATGTTTTAAGTTATTTGTAAGTATAAGAAAAGGTTTTTCTTCGATTTAAGGGAAATTGCAATAATTCCTTTTTCAAAGAAACATAATAGGAAGATATTACATCATATTTAGTATCTTATAGTTAAATTATTTTATTTTCATACATTTTAATTATAAATATATCTCAGGCAATATAATTCTTTTGGAAAATAGTTCCCACTAATTCTTTTTATTCTGCATATCATTAAGAGGGCGTATAAAGCAAAATTACCAATCTTATTTTTGATTTTACATGAAAAATTCCGGACCAAATCTTAAAATAAAAATGTATGAATAACTACATGATATTTCCGAGGGTTCACTTTGATCAAAAACATGAAATAATAACATTTCCTCGATAGAAAAAAATCACGAAGTAACCTCTAATTCTAATATTTTTCCGTTTTGTACTCGATATGGTATTGCCTATTGCGACAAAAATTTGATAATTAATTATACTTATACAAGAGTAAAGGCTTTGTTTAGGCATTTTATGTAATTCCTTTTAGTTTTGGATTTAGACGATATAACAGTTTTGGCGCATACTACGTTTTTATTCCCCGCAAGAAGTCATCGTCCGTCGCACGTTGCGGGAGCTTCAAGCATATTTCTATTTCAGACATCAGTCGCTACCGCTCCGTTGAGACGAGAGGACTGCGCTCAAGTGTTTAGGCGCGCCGAGTTATTATCAATTCAATTATTAGATTATTAGGATAGGAGGTAATAAATTAGATATATAATAGGTAGCTATTTACTTTTGCTTTTTGTTATATTATTCTTCACAATAAAAAATTCTGATCATTTTCCCCTAGTGTAATTATGATATCTTCCAAAAGTCTAGTATTCTATAAAAATATGAAAATAATAATAATTACATTCTCCATAATTCTATGATCACTCATAAGTAACGCGGGCAGTATAGTTTGGTATAGTATATGCAAAATAAACACAAGCTTTTAGTTGGTGTCTGTGTTTGTTCGATGAAATATATTTATGTCGATTTGGAAGCTATTTAAGTATGTCCATTAGGTATTTAAAACCTATTTTTAACCGACTTCCAAAAGAAGGAGGTTATCTATTCGACTATAATGTTTTTTTTTTGTGTGTTTGTTACGCGATTACTCCATTTATTTTGATTGTTCTTTTTTTATTTGAAAAATTATACTCCTGAGGTGGTCCCATTTAAATTTGGTGAAGATCTGATGCTGGTCTTCGGAGATATACAATGGAACTGTTCAAAAATAGACGTTAAATCGGTCGTGATGGCTGCAATCGCTTGGATGTTTATATGCTTGTCAAATATTTTTATAGGATATTACAAATAAAAATGGAAAAATAAAAAAACCGACATCAAAATAAATCGAACCCAAAAAGAAGTAGCCGGGTGAGTTTTTCCACCTCCGGTTGTGTGCTTCACAGGTCCGTTGCCTGACCCAGCATCGTATTTGGTTAAACGATATGGGCAGGATTGGGGTTGGGCCAGAGGTTGGGGTTGCCGAGCCCCTCCTTGCCAACTCATCTGCGGCATCGTTCCCGTGTGAGTTACTGTGTCCTTTAATCCATTGGAGGAGTACCCCATTGAATATAGCGAGCTGTTCCAGTGCTTGGTGGCATTCGAAGACAATACCAGAGGTCATTGTGTTGCCCTCCAATGCCCTGTCGGATATTATTCGGATGTTGTAGTCCTTGATACCCCTTGACATGGCCGTTGTGGCAGCGTAAGTTATTGTCACACATTCACATTGAAATATGGAACTGTGTTGGCCTAACGCTAGTGATATGTTTATGTTTAGGTCTTGCGAGAAAACTCCGGCTCCAGTTCCTGACCTAGTCTTGGAACCGTCCGTGTAAATTCGGATTTCGTTAATGCCGGATTGATCTCAGTCATTTCCATGTATCTGGATGTAGTATCTTCTTGTGAAGATATGGTGTTTTTGGGATTCTATCGCATGGAGCTGCTATCAGTGGTTCGTATTCCACCAATTGATCCCATAATTTGGAGTGCGATCCCTCACTTTTGTGCCATAGACCCAGGTGTTTGAGTCTAATGATCGCCATGGCGGCCTCCTGCTGTATGAATAGATCCAGGGGTGGCAGACCAAGAGCCACCTCCAGTGCGGCAGTAGGCGTTGTGCGCATACAGCCAGTGACCGCGGAGCATGGGAGTCGCTGGAATTGCTGCAGTTTGTTTATGACAGTGCTTAGCTCTGTTCTCTGCCACCAGACAACAGCACCGTAAGTGATTATTAGTCTTATGACTGTCCTGTATAGCCATAAAGTAATTTTGGGTGATAGTCCCCAGCTTTTGCCGAGTAGCCGCTTGCATTGGCAGAAAATAATGCAGGCTTTATTCAGTTTTTCATCGAGGTGCTTATTCCACAGGAGTTTACTGTCCAGTATTACTCCTAGGTATTTGACCTCTTTGGTAAGAGTAAGTTGTGTTCCAAATAGCTTGGGAAGTCTGAGATTTCCTAGGCTGCGTTTGTTTGTGAACATGATCATCTCTGTTTTGGATGGGTTCACTGTCAAGTTGTGTGCTACGTACCATTGTTCCACGATCTTCAGTGCAAGTCTCATTTGATCGCATGTAATGCTCTCAAAAGGACCGCTGATGAGAATAGTAAGATCGTTTGCATAGCCTATTGTGAGGAATCTTTGGTCATTAAGTTGTGCGATGAGCTCATCCACAACAATGAAGGGGGGAGAGTACACCGCCCTGGGGGCATTGCGGAATCAACACCATGCCTAGACAGAGCTTGGCTAATGCTGGTGAAGTTGGTCTTGTCAAAGGCTCCCTCGATATCGATAAAGGTGGCCAGTGTTGACCTTTTATGATTTAGATTGTCTTCTATATATGAAACAACTCGATGTAGGGCAGATTCTGTTGATTTACCCATCGAGTATGCGTGTTGATTGAGGTGTAGAGGGTGACTGACTAACGCAGTTTCCCTGATTTCCCTATCTATTAGCCTCTCGAGAACCTTTAGTAGGAAAGATGTGAGACTAATAGGTCGGTGTGATTTGGGTTGTGTGTAGTCACCTTTACCAGGTTTGGGGATGAAGACTACTTTAACTTGTAAGGCGGGGATATTGGAGAGGTATTGAAACGCCGAATGTTGAGACAATACTGAATATATTTTAGAATACACAATGATTATATAGTAATACATGAATGTCTATAATAGGGTACACACCACAACTTCTCTCCATTTCAAGGGGATGTACTGATGCGCCAGGCAGCCCCTATAAATTTTTACAAGATGGTCCAGTAGTGTCATATCACACCATCTCAGTAGGCCTGGGAAGACACCATCTAGTCCTGGCGCCTTGAATGGTAGGAAGCTGTTAATTGTCCATCTTAGTTTGTCATGGTTGACAACTTTGCGGGCCGTATCCCAGTCTGTATCATCTGGTGGTTTTTCCCATCTGTCTTCCCATTTTGCCATCACATCTGATATGCGACATCCAGGGAAGTGTGTTTTTAATAAGAGCTCTGAGGCTTCGGAGTCTGTTTTGGTATACTCACCATCAGGGCTTCTTCAGTGAGCCAAGATTGTGTTTGCCTCTACTACACAGTATGTTTTTGACTCTATTAGCCTGGTTGTTGTTCTCTATGTTAGTACAGAAGTTTCTCCATCACTCAGTTTTCCTGGTTCTGATTCTCTTCTTATATTGTTGTCGGGCCTGCGTGTAGGCATCCCAATGTTGGTCTAATCGCGAGTTTTTTGCTTTATTGAACAACTTTCTCACTTTACGACGTAGTCTTTCCAGTTCCGGACCCCACCATTGGTGTTTGTTCTGTGGTCCAGTTCTGGGTGTGGAAAGTGGGCATGTTTGTTCAAAGCAATCGATCAGTGTCTGTGTAAGGTTGACAACATGACTGTCAATGTCCTTAACAGTCCCCGTAGCGTATGTTGGGTTGATGCTTCGCAGCTTCTCCGCAGTAAGATGTTCATAAGGTTTCCGGTCCATCGTGCGGGGATTTCGTCGAGGATCGGGTAGTTTAAGTTTCATTTCAAAGTTAAATTTGATCCAGCGATGGTCTGAGCACGATGCTTCGTTCGAAACATGCCAGTTCGATATGTGTTGCGATGCGTGCTCACTTGCTAATGTAAGATCAATTATAGTTTGGGCCCTGGATGTGACAAATGTCGGCTCCGAGCCCACGTTGATAATGTTAAGGTTATTTGATAATAGGAACGATTCGAAGTCGGTGACAAAAGCACTAAATCTATCAAACAAAGGTTCCTTGTATGACGCGGCAAATCTTTAAAAAACCTGAAGAGAAAATATGTAGTGGGCCCTTAAACATATCACGTGACCAACCCGGTCTGAGCAGTACTGCTTCTGAAAGATTTATAATTGAAGGAGACCGAGATCTCGTTAGTTCAAATAATTTTGCAGCTGGATTCCATAGCCCTTTATTACAAGAAAATATTATACCAATTACTGAATATTGATAAGAAAGACGCGAATTCAATATTATATTTTGATTTTATGCAAGAAATTTCACCTTACCATGATTTATAACCGTTAGTAATACTAAGAAGAAAATCAAACCAAATTGCAAGCCTATAAGCGGTTTATCTACCCTGCAAGTTTTGCAAGTATTATTACAAAATAATCCCCTCGGTTTAAATAAAACTATGTAAGCAATGAACGTTTAATTTAATTTAAAGCTCTGCAAATTGTTCAAAACCTTAATTAAAGAAACTTTTCCACCTCGTATTTTACAGAATAGAAACTGTATTATACAAAACAATAGAATATTCTTCTTTGTACCTATAGCATAACAGAAAAGTTTACAAATTAAATAGCTAATGACACTGTAGGCCTTTTCGCTAGTTGGGTATTCGTACAGATTATCTGTTAAATGAACAGAGACAGTGTATTCATGTACTATACGGTTACTAAGTAATAAAAATCTACATATGAATTGTATCTACTGAGTTGCAGGCGTTCATGGGCGGCGATAGTCACTTTTCATCAGGTGACTCGTTTGCTCCCCTTTCCATAAAAAAAATATATCTAATACAAAGAGCTTATAAGAGTATGCTTTTATAAATACATAAAAAATAGAGGCATACACAGATATATAAACACGGTATTGTCAGTAGTATTGTCACGGTATATTTGTAAGGAGCATTATACCTCGGTGGATAATAAACGTTAACCATAGCTGGTAGACGTTTACAAAAAAAAGTCAAGTGCGCATTTTAGATGTTGAAAAACCCTATTACTTCATTCTTAATCCCTGTATTGTTGATATTGAACAAATGTGACAAGGATGACGTTCAATATTTTTGACCCGTCACTGAAATTCCCCACTTTTAAGCTGCAAAAAATCCCCGAAACCGGCTATTAACAAGATGTTAAAACGTGTTGAAAGCGAAATGCCACAAATTGTTTTTAAAAACACAAATCATTGTTAAGGCTATAATACATATATAGGACCAACAAAACATTGAATCTTGCTGATTCTTTGACATTTCTTTTTTATCATCTTAGTACTGAACTAATTACTTCTTCTTGGTATTCAAGCCAATGTGATTCAAGTGAGAACAAACTTATAAATTATTAGAAAGTGTTTTTTGTGCATAGCGGTGTAGTTTTAATTACAGATGACTTTGTTATCACTTGTTTTAAAAGAGTAAATTAAATTGGGGCCCTATCGTTAAATGTAAATGCTTACAGACAACCTTCGGATGAACAAATCGACAGTAAATAGATGAATTTATAGATAGTTTTTGTGAGAGAAATATAGATTTATAATAACCTTGATCTAACTTCTCCTTGATTTCAGCTGGTTTCGCCATTCAAACGGCCGCTTAAGCCCTGTATCGAACAGTATTAGGATCTCAGTCTCAGATCAGGTGCTGATTATCCGACGCGCACAGTTGTCTGATGGTGGAGTTTGGACCTGCAGAGCACACAATCAGTTTGGTGAGCAGAGAAAGGACGCCAGACTGAGAATACGTTCAAGGCTGGTTGTGAGCGTACATCCACAGTTGCAGGTAAGGGTTATATCTTATAATTTATTTTTAGGAATATCAAGATAGAGTTTTAACGCTAACATTGTACCAGTGCTTATATCAGTTCCGGTGCCATGAGAATTGTAACATATTAAGTGCTATACATACATACGCTCTCACTCTCATACACACACGTACCACAAACACACACACACACACTCACACACACGCACCACCCATATTCACATGTAGGCAACACACAAATACAATACACAGGCAGCGCTATTCACTTACCATCAGTTGAACCAACTGCTGGCTTGCTTCTACTATAACTATACTATAAAAAAATCATGACGTATTTGCCTATAAGCAAAAGCAATGGCTGTAACACATCAATATATCAGTGTATTCAATTGTTGGTTAGCTAAGCAAACAAGAAAAACTTGTTTCTGCAAGTAAATAAACAGCCACGTATAAATAAATGTTAACATTTTCCTTAAGAGGGGATATAAGAAACGTTATTGTCCCAACATGAGTATTTCGCGGATAACAGCTAAATTCCGTCAGCAGTGGGTGACGTTGCAAAAATTGAAAAATAAGTATGCAGAGCACAATCGCGGAGGCGAGACACATCGCTCCAATGTGATCCCGGCCACGCGCTCATCGAATATAGACAAGCACAAGCGAGGCGCCGAAGTCAGCGGTTGTAAGCTGTTCCTTAATTTTATACATGAAACATAGTTTTCTGTGTAAAATAAGTTTTTCGAAGGAAATATTGAGCACGAGAGAGAAAATCAAATAGTTATATGGGTCAACAATAGATCAATATAATATTATTTCGATTTATCGTTGATTGTACCGAATATTTGGTTTCTGAAGTATACTAAAATAACATTTAATTAGAGCGTTGATGACACACAAGACGCTACTTTAATGCGATGTCATAAATTACTCTCGAAGCCCCTGCCGGCGTGACCAATGGTTTATTAACTCTGTAGACGCAATTATCTCGCACATCTTCCCTGGTATAATAACAAAATGAAGTAACAAGTTTTCTTTTTTCAAGACAACTCCCGCATTAGGAATAACAAATCCTGTGTCTCAGAGGAGTTTACCAATATTCATGAAACGGACACAAAGAACACCCAGACTCAGAAAAACAATTTGTGGATCACACAAAGTGTCGTCTCATGTGGGGATTGAACCCACAACACTCAGCGTAGTAGAAAGCGGCTTAGCGACCGCTTAAACCGCTACGCCATCCGTGCACTCATGCAAGGAACTCAATGACAGTTGTAACTGTGTTAATCGCAGTATGTACTATGTAATCGAGTAGGCCTGAGTCGGTGGTACTCTCCTCTGCACTCAATATCACTGCCATAAGATCTGTCAGGGTTCTCATTGACATTCTTCTTAGGACAACCGAATCCCTTGCATGCACTTACATGTGATGAATGGAAAACCGTGCGGTTCGATTCCTACATACCGTTTTACCTTAAGCCTTCATGAAGTAATGAGCATTATAGACTTTCACACGAAAATGAAATTTTATATCGCATACAACCAGATTTTGCAAGCGGTGTCGATGCTATTTTTAAAATGCTTTTATAAGCTTGGTATGTATGTATGTACATACGTAACGGCATCTTCAAATTTGTATTATGTATTTTGGTATTTTAGCAGACTTCAAAACGTCGAATTAAATTGAAACTTCGCGTATTTATGACAATACAATTTAATTAACATAATTTAACAACCATTTAAAAAAAAAGCGTTTAGGGTGAGAGATGTTTGTTTGTGTGTTTGTTTTTTTCTTTGTGCAAATCATTTTTGACGTTTATATCCAAAACGAATAGTCTGATTTTAATATGGTTTTCAGTAATGGGTTCGTGGTTTATTGGTACTGGTTCTTAGATAGGTGTTACGGTTGTGACTCACTAGGAGGCGCTACAATAAAAAAAAAACTTTGTGCAAAAAAATATTGCATTATCTCCACAAATACTTGTCAATAATTAATTGATAACTATTTTTCCTTCGTACATATGAGTTTTTGCTCGTTTTTGACGAGTTGAATCGTCCTGTCAGTTTGAAACTTTGCAGTAATATGTGGTTTACATGTCAATACTATAAATTCGCAACTTTAAGCTGATCTGATGAGAAAGCCAAGAGCTGGATACCGGAACTTTTCAGTGGCTACTAGAAAACTCTTCGTGTTTGGGCTCGGTAGATCGTTTTTTTCGAGCCCCTTTCATTACGCAAAGTGATGATGATGGAGCCAAAAGGAATATATTGGAACTTCTTAATGGTTACTAGTAAAACCTTTGAGTTTAGACTCATTTGATTTGTAATGACAAGGCCATCCATTAGCCAGGAGGTAACAGTTCCTTTATATTAGTTACTACATGTTAAATAAACTCGATAGAAATCGATAGGGAAGTATTTCTGTAGAGACTAGTGTTGTAGGAACTCTAAAAATACTAAATAAAAAATTAACAAATAGAAATAGCCCACGTCGAATATGGTCTTCTCTACCGTTATCTCTATCTTCTCTTCTCTTTGACAACTGTTGTAGAGCTGCAGCTGAATGTTTTGAACATTATATCAACTAATCTTTTTCATTCTACGGAATTATATCTAGTTACAACTATTCCTATTCTCCTTCTCCATACAGTGGTTGCCTGGAAGAGATATTTTACTCTCTATGTTTTATTTCTATAACTTTAGATTATAAGACTCACACCAATGTATAAAAACTGTATTTTTACCATGTTTTTCTTGTACAATAAAGATTTATCTATCTATGTATCTACAACAAAGTACCGGGCAAAGTAAAGTTGTAAATATATCATCATCATCATCATCAACAGCCTTTAACAGTCCACTGCTGGACAGAGGCCTCTCCTTAGAAAGGAGGTTTTGACCTACTATACCACGATGGCCAGACGGGTTGGAATAGGGTTTGTCACCTCCTCGTGGTGCACCCTGGAAACGCTGGCGATGGTACTGTTCCCTCCTTGTCCTCTTGGAGGAGAGGATTATCGCCAGCGGCCAATATTCTAGCAGAAGAGGCAGCCGTTCATCGGCTCTCGGGCAAGGCCTGGTCCAGCAGGGTGGGCGTGTCTGCCGGTTGCCCTGCTGGCTCTTCGCTCTTCGGAGCATGGAGGAGGAAACCTCGGTAAAAAACCGGATGGCGGGGCCCTGTAGGGGCCACAGTTTCTCCGCTGACAGCGGTGGAGAAAGGAGGACGGGCTCGGCGTGTACTCACACTACCACCGAGCAGGCAGGGGGACGTAGTCTCCCTGTCAACCGTCGGCATATCGTAATCCCGAGAAGAGCGCTGTGGTTAAGTCTCGCGGCTCTGATCGGGGGCGAGGGTCTTGGCTTAACCGCCCGGACCGCGAGGAAGATAACCTCTCTAAAAAATTCCCCGAATCCCGTGTTCTGGTGCGTGGCCAGGGGATGCATGGCTGATGGGAAGTTCAGTCGCGAGCGCACTCCAAGCCGAGGTACCTGCGAACCCCTCGGTTGGGTTAAAAACTTACGCTTGCCCGGGTAATGGGGGATCTCTGCCCGGGTGGACCTTTAGTTCTCCCCCACTCGTGGGATTTATCATGGAACACATAAAGTCTAACCAAAACAAAAAACGAACGGAAACAAATATACAACGAAAACAGGCAAGCAAAACGGACTCTGAAACGAAGGGTGCAAAGGTGAAGAGGAATAGTGGAGCGGATGGGTCGTCCACTGAGGGCGAGATGGTGTCGGGAACGCCTATCTCGATGGGGCTCCCAGAGGTCAGTCTGACTCTGGTCACTGGGAGCCGAAGAGCATCGGATCGGCTGCGTTCCGGATCCGCCGCTTCATCGGATGGCGCGGAGGCCATGGAAGCGGAGCGGAGCGACAGCCGGAAACGCGGACGCTCAGGGGACGTGGAAACCGACACGTCCGGCGAAATGATGCCACCAAAGGTGGCAAGCAGCCGCCGAGGGAGGGCGCGCAAACCGGCCTCGGTCGCGATCCCGTCAGGCTCCGCGTTCTCCAACGCGGAGTCGTACAGGAACGTACGGGTGGACGGCGAGGCCGTAGCGGAGGAGGAGATCGCGGATCTCCTGCTCAAGGTTCGGGAGCCGGTGGGGGGAAATGCCCCCCAGGCTCCCGTGTCCGTGCAGGAGAGGGCGAAAGCGGCGGTGGCCGTCATCAACAAGGTGGCCACCAAATCCGTGAACCTTAAGGGCTCGTTTGTGAGGGCCCTTAAGGACTCCTCCTCCGCTTTGTCGGAGGTCGTGGAGGGCCTAGCGGGCGACGTCTCTCGCCTGCAGGTGGCCAACGAGAAGCTGACGGAGCGGGTGAACGAGCTGAGCGCTCAGTTCGCCCGCTTCCAGGCGAACCTCCCCGAGCGGGAAGCCCCGTCCGCGTCCCAGCCTGCCCCTACCACCAACTCAGGGGCATTTGACTCCCAACTGCGAGAAATCCTCATCGCAGTTGGGAATATGCTGGACGGACGCCTGGCTGGCCTGGAGGCGAGATTGCCTCCTGCGCCGATTATGCGCCCCCCGCTCGCGTCGGCACAGCGGCCTAAGGCCGCCGCTCCGACCGCGCTCCCCGTTGTGGGAGGCCGCGTTTCTTACGCGGCGGCGGCGTCTGCCCCTACTCCATCGGCTCCACAAAAGACGAGGAGGGGGGCCAAGGCACCGGCCCAGGCGCCGGCCAAGGCACCAGCTAAGGCGGCGGCCAGGGCGCATCCCCAGGCGCCGGCCAAGACGGGGCCTAGAACAGCGCCGAGGAGCGGAGTGGCATTCCCTCCGCTCCCCACTCCGACACCCCTGCCGGGCCCCTCCGCACCTGCCCCCTCCAACGAGGGTTGGCAGGAGGCGAGGGGCTCCAAGAAGTCCCGAAGGCGGGCCAAAAAGGCTGCCCAAAGAGCAGCCCAAGCCCTGCCTTCGCCACCGGTGGCAACGGCCTCTGCAAAGAGGCCGCGGAAGCTGCAGCCGCCCAAAACCGCGGCGGTAGTGGTGACCGTGTCCCCGGAGGCGGCTGACGGCGGGCTGTCCTATGCGGCCGTCTTCAAGAAGGCCCGGGACAGCCTCGCCAACGAGTTTGGGACGGTGGGGGTCAGGATGCGCCTCGCCCAGACGGGAGCTCGAGTTCTCGATTTCCCTGGGGCCGAAGGCGCAAAGACGGCGGACTCCTTCGCTGAGAAGCTGCGGGGAATATTTGCAGCCACAGATGGTGTCAGGGTCGCCAGGCCTACCAAGTGCGCGGAACTGCGCATCTCGGGCCTGGACGACTCAGTGACGGCCGAAGATGTCCGCGCTGTAATCCGGGAGAAGACGGGGTGCAGCGCGGACAACGTCAGGGTCGGCACCATCCGCCCCGGTCCAGGAGGGCTTGGCGCCGTGTGGGTCAGCTGTCCCGTAGCGTCGGCCAAAGTATTGGCCGACGCCGGCAGGCTGCTCATCGGTTTCGTGAGCGCCAGGATCACAGTCCTGGCGGCGAGACCGATGAGATGCTACAAATGCCTAGCATCGGGACACACGCGCGTCAAGTGCGACAGTTGTTTTGACTGCGGCGGACTGTGTTTCCGCTGCGGTCAACCGGGGCATAAGGCGGCAGAATGCTCTGCCGCCCCTCACTGCCCAGTGTGTGCGGCGGGCAATAAGCCCGCCAATCACCAGATGGGGCAGAGAGGCTGCAAGCCTCCCCGCAGTTCTCGGCAGACGTCGGGGGTTAGCCAGTCGACC